CAGGAACATTCATTTTTTATTAAGAGATATTTAATCAATATTTATGGACTATTTGGAATTAATTTTCTCTTTACAGTTTAATTTGCAGTTTATTTGAATATCCATAAAAATCTTCGGTTAATCATGGGACTCAGTTCTTTTTATACGTCAATGATTCTAGGGAAAATTTGTGAAAACATAGAAAAACCATTTACCTATTTTATGAATGGTTAAATGATAGACAAGATTCCATTTCAAATGTAAAATCAAAATGGCTTTCCAAAAACCATTTAAAATGGAAAGTGTAAAATGCTATTTCCATTTTAAATACATATTTAAAATGGAACTGTTTTAAATATTACCCAGCCCTGCGAACCTGTACCAGTGGCCGAATCTCTACTTCAGCCGATGTATCATTTTAGGGATAGTTGATAAGGGAGCGTTCCAAGGTCGGTATTCAATCTTACGAATCAATTACAAAGCAACATTAGCATTTAAAAATATTACTTACGACGATCTTAAAATAAGAACGAACTGTGAATACCGACCTAAATGTACGAATCATCGTGAAGTTCGTCGATAATTAAGTTCCCCGAAGCTATCGTTATTGCTTGACAAATGGCGCCCTCTACTTGTTCAAAAAAAATTGAATTCACACATTTAGAATCAATATTCTTCTATATATAAACATTATACTAAATATTCTCAAATATTCTTAAATAACTTTTAAACCAATCTGAGAATTGTGCTCGACATTTACATAGATACAATCATAATCTGTAAAATTTGATTAAATCCTTAATGTTTTGAAAATAGGTACTAAATATCCTTGTAACGATTAAAAAATAAATTGTATAGTGTACAGAAGTCTGATGGATTCGAAGCAAAAGCAAGGATCGCTCGCTTACCGCCGTAATCTCGAAATATTCGTATACTCGAAAATCGAAATTCGGCGCGGGCGCCATGACAGTTCGATAATGGCAACGTCGCGCGGCAGCCGGCTGCGGGCGACACGGGGCAGAGATGTGGCATCGGCGCGTTGGTCGCGGCGGCGGCGGCGCAGCAGTGAGACGAGCTGGTTGACAGACAGCTTCGCGTTCTTCCGCTACGGTGATGTGTCGTCGTTCACCGCTGTGCAACCGTGCCGTCGCGCCGTGCCGTGTCAGCTCGCCGATTAACAAGGAGTACGGTCGCGCGGCAGCGGCGGCGGCGACGACGACCGGCGTTGACGACGACGACGACGGTGGAGCGTGCCGCGATTAATAAACGGGCAGTGTGTGGTGCTGTGGAGGAAGGGACGATGACGACCGGAGGGATAATTTGGGTGGCGACTTGAGGGCAGAAATGTTGAAATTCGGCAGCAAGAGCGACGTGACGGTGGTGCATCGCGCCACTATTCGACTGTTCGACGACAACGAAATTATCTACTGCGACTTTCAGGTGAGAAACAGTACTCGACCGCTCCATTCCGCTTCGCGGCCGCGGGTATCCGCGCGCGAGCGCGACTTTTCTTTTCGCTACCCCTGTGCGGGTCTCTCTCTCTCTCTCTCTCTCTCTCTCTCCTCTCTTTCTAATTCGCCTGCGCGCTGTCATTCATGAGTATCAGCAATATCGGCATCAAATGGAAGATCCGAGAATTGTTTATCATTTTTTTATTCTGTATACTCCGATTTTTTATCCTACCAACGACAGACACTTGCCAGAATGGTACTTGCCGAAATAAGGACAATGAGAAGCAATGGTTGTCGCAACATGCGCGATTTCACTGTACGATTATGATTCTGGAAGATTTCAACAGACTGTTAACAACTTTATATAAACTGTCCCACTTCTCGCGCATTCTTTCTCAATTTCAAATTGCTCAATCATTTGGAGTCTCTCCTTAGCGAAAATCTCGAGAGAGAACATTATTTATCGCATTTTTCATCGTCTTTTATCGTCATATATTTTTGTATAATTAAGCTCTGCATTGGAATTCTATAAAACTGTCTGAATGTTAGTACTTCCATTTAACTCTCTTAAGTTTTTTCACGAGAAAATTTTCTTTTCCTTTCAACTTTTATGAGAAAGCTTTACGAGAAAGCTTTCTTTTTCAATTCCTCATAACTGAAAAATTATCAGTTCTTCGATATTTTCTCGAAGGAAAATTCAAGCTGATTAAAGAGAATGTGTTATTAAAAAATGATATACGAAAAAAGGGGGACGCGCTTTCAAATACATGACAAAATATCATAATAAATGTATATAATTGCTTTAGTTTCTGTTTACAAAATTATTCTTACAAATACAAATATACTCATTTTATTTAAATTTGTTTAATGATAAATTAAATGAAGCAATTGTTTTTGTGTCTACAAAATAACAAGGTTTTCGACATGACGAATATTTATTACAGGCACATTAATGAAATATTAATGAATTGAATAGATTATTATATAATCGATAGTATCTTTTCACATTTCATCGTACCGTAGCATTGGATTAATGGTCGCCACTAATGACGACATTAAGGACATATTTTGAATGTATCGCATTCCTTTTTTTTCATATCTTACAACGAGAAAAAAGAGCAAAAAAAAAAAGGAATGGAAATATGACAGACAATATTCCTTCTTCTCGACATGATGATGTCATGATGATTACTGCATCGTTTAGAAATTCAAATCGATGAAAGACACATAAATCTTGAAGGTTTACGAAAAACAAAAAAACACGAGAAAACAAAAAAAAAAGACGTCAAATATCATTTTTATTGAAATATATTCACGAATATTTTATGCAAATTTTGTTGTTATGATTTACATTATCCGATCTTTATTTATCTGTTTTTTGTGGATGTATAAATTTATCTGCAGTTTTATTATATGTTCTAATTTTCTCTATTTATTGATAATAATCCATTTTCCATCATTGATTATAGATTATAACATTTATTTCGAAATACCTCTGACTTTTTTTACTCCGTATCTGCTCCACGTGTCGTTCACGTATCTGATCGCGATATTTGTTCGTGATTGGGATTGAGCACCGCTGAACGCGGGGGTCGAACCGTGACTCTGTATCGCAGCCTGGATCCCTTTGACGTTTAGTCGCAGTGACGGCACCCACTGCTTGGATCGATTCCAGAAAACCGTCTGTGCACGCGGTTTACACTGTCAAAAAAGCTCTCCAATCATTTTAGCTTGGCGTTCCACGCCTAAAGCGGTGCCTACAATCAGATTTTAAGACGTAAAATTTACAGTTTTAGGCCTTAAAAAAGGATCGATTCCACCAAAATTAATTTTAATTTTAATTTAATGGTTTAACTTACTGCTTATTTTTTTCTCTTTAAGCCATAAGCCGTAAGAAATTGACCAATCATGCAGCGTTTTCGACTGCATGCTCTACTATTGATAGATCAACTAATAGCAGAATGTGTGACATCATTAATCCAACTTAGGTCGGTTCAAACCTATTGCAGTCGAAAACGCTAATAGTCAATTATTCTCCTCACATTCAACTGTAATAAATTAATCTGTAAATTTCTTGCAGCTTAAGGCTTAAATTTTAAGTTTTACGCTTTAAAATCTCATTGTAGACGCCACTTTACACTGTTAAATTCATAATGTCAAATTATATTCAATTTGAGTTATTTATAATCATTTCTATAGGTCGCCACTATAATCCTACCCAAGTGTTAATTTGACTAAAACAATAGTGTTAAACAATTTAACTCAAGAAAATGTATTTATTAATTCATTCAGATTTAGTTTATTATTTACTAAGCGTATTCGTACAGTTTTTCACATTGTTTTCGTGTAGAGATAACTTTCTGCGATATCTACAATTCTATTAATAATTCTGTATTCTATCTATAATTCTATCTAATAATTCTCGATCCGACAACCTAATTACGTGTCTCACGAGCAATCAATCCGTTTAAGTCTTCGCGGTCTGCGATTATGCAAGTGGTTGTGGCATGTTCTCCAATAGATTAATTTCATTCCCAATATTGCGAATGTTACATTGTAACATTTATTATTTCCGTCCCATCTGTTCTCATAGCAAACCATAAAATTAATACGCATTGAATGTCATTGAAGTCTCTAAAGGCCTCGAAAACAGGTACAGGAGAGATCTCCCTCCTCCCCTCCGTTCACGTGAATATTCTGTTCTGGGACTCATGGGATTATCGCGAATCATCCCAGGATATCCGGAAATAGAGTTGCACGCGTCGGTCGATGATGTCGATCGGTTCGTTTCTCTTTATTAGGTGCACGGTGGTGTGCTCTTTGTAGCCGCAGAAACAAGGGATGCGTATTTCATCGGTACGTCACATCGTGTATATTATGATGGAATAATTGGCAAGTGGCCAAATCGAAACAAAATGGTAGAAGCCATCGGTTTAGATTTACTCTGAACGGATGACGATTGGAAAGAAAAGCTATTGCACACATTAAAAGCCAATAAAATCGAGATTGACTGTTGTTACAACCATTGTTTTAACCGCAGAGTCGTTACCACTGTAGTATTTTTAAACATATATATTTTCACTGATTCGTTTTTCGAAGTTTTATCCACGGCAAAAATGAGAAATAATTCAAATATCCGCATGCTCTTTGCAAAGAGTATCGGTACACAAATTAACGATGATATAATTATAAAGAGAACGTATTTCGTCGATTACTTTTCTACGGAAATTGATCTTTTAAAAGAATTTAATTTACTTTCTATATTTTATATAGAATTTGATCACATAATAATGGAAATGTTTGCATGATGCGCAATCGAAAGACATACGCATGATCTCTATGTAACCACGTTATTATAATGTTACGCGATAGCTTGCCAAAAATGAAATTGAAAATATTTGATAAGTGTAAGGAAATATCTCGAGATAAAGTATCTCGCTATTCGATACGTAATAAGTTTAATGAAAAATGGAATAAACCTTTAATTTTGCCGAGAGTTAAAATTTACCTTTTATTTTTATTTCTTTGTGCAGCATCGGTAGAAGCTGTTTAATCGGATTTATGGGTGAATTCTAGGCCATTGTATTATTTCTTCTCGTTGCATTAGTGCGGCCCATTTGGCACGGTGCTCACTGATAACCGTAAATTACGGTGGACGACGTCATTTCACGCCTAAAAGTGTCTTAAAAACCTTGGTTGACGTTATACACGCTCGCCTTGTCGCGTTTAATTTCGTCCTCAAAATAAAACCGATAATAATCCTTAACCTTCTTCAAACGGCAACAATGTGGTCCGTGCCAAAGTAAATGTTGGCATGCATCATAAATAAAATGGAGAATTGTTGGAGCAACCGCGAGATGAAAGTTTCTGGATTAGCGGGACAATTTTGAAAAAGCTCGCGTCATCCGTATATTTTGAATTATTTATAAATGCAACTTTGCGAGATTCACATCGTACATCAAACGATTCAAGTTTTTCATACACTTTCGCGCAAAATTCCATCTCGGAAAGAATTGAAACTACCTACGCTAGTACTTTATTAGCAACAATAGCAGGATATGTGCAAGTGCGGGATTCCATTCGAGTTAATTTACATATTTCTTTAATTTTGTACCTGCTCGTGGCGAGACAGCTTTGTATCTTTGTTTTTCCGCGATATCGTATCAGATTTAATTTACGTAGAACAAACATCCTTCCTACACATGGCAATAATTTTATTTATCCGCACGATTTATCGGTCTTATATTTGGATAGTTTGAAGTTAGAATGATTCCGCAAAGTTGATCTCGCGGTTGGGATTATATTCGCAAATACAAAGTTTAACAGATCTTCCTTCGCAAACAACGATGTCTATAAGAGCCATCGTGTCTGGAGGTACAGGGTCACTAGGCTGCGAATCAATGATAACCATTCTCTTATAGTTCTTATACTCCCTGTCGACGTGACGGATATGTACTTAAATTATTACTGATAAATGCAAATTTCTCGACACAATTGTTAATCGACTTTATGCTTTGAAACTCGTCAAAAGGCTTATACAGGTTTACTGTTTCTCTTACGAAAAACGTTAGATCGTTACACTGTATCCAAACAAAAAAATAATTAAATTCAAAAGAAAAGAAAAATAAATTTAACGGATACATGATTTGATTTATGAGCAATCAAGAAATAAAATTTTAATGAAATAAAATTAAATGAGCAATAAGTCACCGAGACTTAGAGCTAAATTTTTTACAATAATGTTATAAACTTATGTTGCAAAGACAGTAATAATTGTTTTCGATATGTATCTATTCATCTGCTCATATCGCTCCATTCACTTTTGTTATATTTATATGCAATAGACATGCGAGTTATAAAGATAAACTTGGAAAGTTACGTAGTTCGGATTAGCTTTGGAAAGAATTTAAAGTATGCCTCTTGCTCTCACAACCGAGCTTAAGATACTCTTCTTATGTAGAAATTGTGCATTGAATAGCAAACTTGAAT